CAGATGTTATGTGGATTTTATTCTATTTTGTCAACGTTAGTGAAACTAGGCTACGAGAAAAAAAGTGGATGCAACTCGACAGAAAACAACAAAACCAACACTTTCGGCGTTTTATCAGTTTTGGATAATTATAAAAATTAATTTTTCTGTATCGATATTGAAAGGTTGTGTGGATAATTAAAGGGTAAATAGAGACGAATGAAATTACGAGTTGCATTAGAAGACCTCTATGAAATAAGGCGTTAAGTTTCACTGTTTTGAAATTTCATGTTTTTGAACATTAAAAGTGCTAAGTCTGAAATCTTTGTTTGGGCGTTACGAGTTTTTGAATTTCTCTCAGATTTCGGCTGAAGAAAACCCACATCAAATAAATGAAAGCGATTGTGGAATGTTTCCATTGAAATATGCGGAGTATATAACAAGAAATGCAAGAATTAATTTCACACAGGATATGCCTTATTCTCGCCGGCAAATGGCTTACGAAATTTTGAAGAAACAGTTATTGTGACGAACGTCAAAATCTACAACGGTCCATACATGAAATTATTATTCTGCCACTCGTAAAATAAAAATATTATTTCACCTCCACCAGCTTCCAGCGTTTTATATTTACATAATCATTGCTTAGGAGAATTTTACTATTATGATGCGAAGTTATCATTACGTGCGAATGAACGTTCGAGAATTCATTTACATTGTAAAATTATAATTTAAATTAAATGCCATTCATACAAGAAATGTCATAAAAGTTGCATGAAAAAAACTCATAATTTCGTAACTGTAATTATGGTAAATCTTCATTTTTTAACTTTTCTTTTTAATTTCCTGGCATAGAATTTATAATCTGTGATATTCAATTAATGATTACCATCTTATAAAAGGGTAAATGGATATAATGATTTAACTAAACGAAATTTAGTAATTTTAAAATAGAACATTGTAAATTAAATTGTTATTTTCTGCATTTTGAAATGTCTATTATTGTATGTACGTATTACAATATCAAATAAGTATTAAAAATTCTGAATTTCGTTTCTTATACAGAATATTTATTTTTTTGCATAAATTGTCCAAGCGCCCTTCTTACAGATAATATAAAAACCTAAAGCCCGGACTATTAATAATATAAAAGTCGTCGTAAGTGTGTGTGAATTTTTTGTAACTCCTGCAGTTTTTGTCCAATCCGGATGAAATTTTGGTTTTATTCGTTTCATATTTTATCGGAAAGTATAGACTAGTTATTTTATCCAAATATTAGTCCAAAATAAACTTTTTATTGATTTCTGACTCGCACTTATATCGTAGTGACCTAGGTGACTTTATTTAGTTAATTTTTAAATATTATGGCAAATGGCGTATTTTAAACTTACTTCGTGAATAAACAATATTAAAGTGTGTATTACTAAAGAAAGACAGAACGAAAACCACAATAGAATATTTACTCAGAACATAAAGAAATTGTAATATTTTAATATAAAGGCGTAACTGCTACTATTTCTGTCCATTTTAGGTGAAATTTAGTTTTATTTCTCTTTATATTACCACAAATAGCATGTTTTACAGATATTTACGACTTCCATTCCAAATAATTAATTGAACGTACTATTAAAAAATTGACGTGTATTACTTCATACTGACATATGGATATCTTGGAATGCTTCATCAGGCAAGATCAATACGATAATATTCAAATTGTTATAATTAAAACACTAATGACGTGAAAAAATTATTCTTAACCCTTAACTGGTTTCTTGGGGGCCGCGCGGCCCCCACGCGTCATATTTTTACGAATTTCTAATTATCTAAATATCGTGCGCAGCTGCTATTTTATGTAATCTCATTACGTCGCGACTCTTAGCGAGTGCCAAATGTTCGGCCCTGTAGCACTTACAAGGATGGAGCTACGTACCTTCTGGGGGCCGCGCAGCCCCCACCATACCAGTTACGTTGGTTTTTTGTGGAAATGAGTTTTTATGTTTTTTTTTTATTTTTACAATTATTTTGCATAGATATCTCAATCTTGCATCAAAACTTTAAAATGACTACCAAAGAATCATTTGAACTGCTAATAGGTGATAATATTATACAAATTGCTAGATCAAGCCGAAATCTCCTGAAAAGAGTATGTTGTCATTTTGTGCTAAAAAAAA